TTTTGCTATTATAATGCCTTCTATCTTATTAATTGACTTCTTAAAAGTAGCTTGTGGTAGCTCCAAAACCATAACTAATGTGATCATAACAACTCACTTCTAACTAGATAGTGGCTATTAATACACTACCAAAGAACAAACTAACACTTATTTTCATACTGTTGAAACACAATTGAATTCTCTTAAAGATCTAAAATCCTTTCAGTCTATAACAATATAAATGCCATCACAAAGTAGGATAAAATAGACTAGAACAAAACTCAACAAAACTAAATAGAATAGAACATAAAAGACAAAGCAAAATAAAAGAAAATAGAACAAAATAGAACAGAAAATGCAAATCAAATTTTACTGAGAGAAAGAAACCAAAGCCATACTTGACCAAATATCTCAAATTTCTTCAGTCGATCCTATTTATATTTTGTCCAACTAACTTGAAACTTTTTAGAATGTTCCTAATATAGGCTCCACTTTGGTAATTGTCTTTAGTTCTCATAGGATGTTCTATGGTAGACTCCATCTTAATGATTGCCCTTAATTCTTATAAGATGTTTCATGGTAGGTTCGACCTTGATAATCACCTTTAATTCTTATAGGATGTTCTATGGTAGGCCCCATATGGACCACCAATCTGACTCCAATTTTAAAAACTTCTAAAAACATCTCAAAAATAGCCTCAAATTACCTATTTCTATGCATTAATAATTCAATTATCTTATCTATGCTTTGTTACAAGTACTGTTGGTAGAAAATAAAAATTCAAAGAATTAAGGCTTTTAACTTGCTACAATAAAAAGATTTTGTAAAGATAAAAATCACCTTCTAATATAAATTACAAGATAAATTTAATTAAAAATAAGTTATAATTATTGGTATGAAGTGAAAAAAGCAATAAACAAGAATAAAAGAAGAATAACACAAAATAAGTGCAATCAAGAAATTGCACACTACAAAACTAGTCATAATATATTTATTAGATTTCTATCCAATAAAAAATAAAAATAAAAATAAAAATATATATTTTTAGATAATTAAGCTTTTATCTTTTTAATGATATAATAAATATAAATCCAAATTATTATAAGATAGTTATGATAGTTTAAAGATATAATATAAATAATAAAAAAAATTAAATAAATAATTTTTACTTCAATGATAACTTACTTAAGACATCAAGAATTTGACCCTCACCAATGCTCATAAGTAGTACATAAGGTTTTTTTTAGAAAGGCTTCAAGATCTTAGCCTTATCATCCTGTAAATATCTAAAGTACTATAATCCATATGAGACTTTTGTATCTTCTTTCTTCCAAGGACTATAGCAGCTATTGGTCTTTTTATTTTTTATTAATAAAATTAATATTGGTATATTTTTTACTTCACCATGATAATCAAAAAAATCCAATTAGCTTGAAAACCTTATATGGCCTTCAAATTTTATTCCATTTCTTCATAATGGCCTCTTAAAGTGGCAATAATTATTTTTATAATATACTTCAAAGTTACTTTAAATTTTCTTAATTTTTAATGTATTATAAAAAATAGATATTTATATAATATTTATAAAATAATCTTATTGAATTAAAGCTATTTTGTGATTTTTTATATTGATAAAATCAATTTAAATCAACCATAGAACATATATCTTATATAAATAACAAAAAATATATGAGATTCTTTTTTATGCTTCTTTCAACTACTAACTAAAATTAATTTGTTTTTAAAAAGTAATAAATATAGATAGAAGATTAATGTAAAAATTTGTCTTCATAAATAATCATTAATATTTAATAGTAATAAAAAATACTAAATCAACTAAAATAATTGCGTCCAAGACTTATTTTGAGACTTTATTCTTTGAATCAATTATTAATACTTCATAAAAAATTACAAAAAAGATTATAAGAAGATTTAGTATTTAAAATAATCAAGTGGTTTCGTAAAAACAAACAAAAATATTAAAAAACAAACAAATCAAACAAACAAAAAATAACTTATTTTTTTACATAATATAAAAATACTATGAAGTTAGGAAGAAAATGCAAATATGTGTGAATATATATATTTTTAAATCATGATGGTAATTAGTGGAAGTAATCTATAAATCATTTTTAAAAAGAAGAAAGTTAAAGACACCACCTAATGAAGTTATCTACATAGAATCACACAAATTCATGTAGAATTTAGCTGATAATTAGGTATTATAAGAAAATAAATTAATTGGATAAATTGATTAATGGTACTTACTCTAAATACCACCTTTATAAAATAAGATGCTGTTTTTTGAAAGAAAGAAGCTTATTATGAGATTTTTGAAATGTATATCACTTGAAGAAGTTATATTTAAATAATCCAAGTAATGTTGCTATGTAATGGTATTAATATTGAGTTTTATCATTAAAGACCTATAAAAGGCTAATAAACAAGATTCTAAGTATGTATCAAGTAAATAAATATTTTTTACTTTTAGTAATTTAATGACAATTTTTTGATGAAAATAATATGTAGTTATGATCTTATACTTATTATAAGTAAAGATAAGTAAAATCTTTTTAATTTATATAATTTTAGTTATAGATAAAAGGCTTTTAGCTAAACTAAGAATATTTTGTATACTAGTGATTATAAGTAGTTGTCTTAAAAATAACTAATGGAATACTAAATCCATCTTTGTAGCTTAATAAATATTATTATCTTCCATGTAAATATTTTAGAAGTCTCTATAATTTTAAAATTTTAAAAATAGTGCTTTAAAAGAAGTATGTGTTGATTAGCTTCCATATCTAAGAAACATTAAAGAAAATATTTTATAAAACAAAAATAAAAAGATAAAGAAATATTTTTTTTATTTATTATTGTATATATTTTTTATCTTTAATATTGGTTTAAAATATTTTGTGTTCATTTTTATTAGAATAATAAAAAAAATAATAATTTGTGCACTTTTAGAATAAGAAGGACTATTATGTGTGTAAGTGTGTGAAAATTTTTTCTTAAACTATTGTAAAGTATGTTTGGTTTTCTAAAATTTTAGGATAGCTAAATATAGATATATTTAAATTATTCTTGTTTATGCATTATAGCATTTTATAGATGGATGTTGGATAATAAAATAATAAAGATTAAAATTTCTATTATTTTTATTTAAAATTTGATATTAAAATATTTTTTTAAAAATAAATACATAAATAAGAAGAAAACTGAGGTTAAAAATATCAATTTTAAATTTATTTTTAATATTAAAAATATCAAAATTATATAATATAAATAATGCTATACATGCACAATTGCCATATAAACTAGCTTATGAATAATACCTTCAATTCTTGTGGACAAAAATTTAGTATTTAATTAAAATAGACTACCTTGGTAATAATGTCTAAAAGATAAAATTGTCACTTCTTTTTATGCCAATGCTTTAAGTTTAGCTAATATTTCTATTCCACCCACCTTATTTGTTCTAATTCATGTCTTTGTTATTTGATAAATAAATATAATGAAAACAACAAAATATTTATAAGACTAATTAATCAAGTTACCATTTATTCTATCTAAAATAAATTTAAGAATGCAATTATTTATTAAAATGGCTAAACTATCATACCTATATAATTTTTTTGTTCTTTTTCTATGGACTAACATCTATTTGATAAACTGTAGTAAATAATATTAAGTTTTATAAGAACTTTTTTCAAATGTAATATTATCATGGATCAATACATTGAATAAATATTTATATATCTTAATTTATAACTTTATAAGTTGATTGGTAAATTCTTTTTATAAAACAAAATTTAAAAAATAAGTATTTAGATAAATATTTTTTACACAGTAAAGATAAAATTAATGATATTCTTCACAAGCCAAAGATAGGTGTATTTATATATGTAATAGTAAGCACAAAAATATATTCTGCATATGTAGTAAAACCATAGTTCAATACATATCTAAGATTTTTTCTTATAATATTATTAAGCAAGATACAATTCCTACTTACTTTTGGTGATAAAAATACAATACTAAAAATTTATTGTGATGCAAATTATACTTATAAAAGCTTTATAAAGTCTCATCCATAAGTCCATTTTTTAATCAACAAAAGAACCTCAAACTTCCTTATGTGCTTGTTTTATCCCTTAGAATTTGTTTTTGACCATGGTTTATAAATGGTCGTACTCAGATAATAATCTAAGTTTTTCTTCAATAAAGTTCAGCTAGAAACTACCTTTAATCTTTACCTAAAGATGTCTATAATAAGTTCATATTTAATCTACTTTATCTTATCTTATTTATGACCATATAAAATAAATAGAAGTTATTTTGACAAAAAGGCAATATGAACATTGAAAATTCTATTTCTTCATATCTTCTACTTGTGATGTAAAATATATATATATATATATATATATTGAATTTTTAATTAGGCTATTCTTAAATATTGATCTTTATTTATTCTTTTATCTACAAGTCGTGTTCAAATATAAAAAAGTGGATTAAAAATTATTCTTTAATAAGTATATTCTATAAAGAATCATTTATAAGCTAATAAAATATTTTTTCAAGTCATTTTTTCTATTCATAAGTGCAAGATATTAGAATTGAAATCTTATCTAATTCTACACCTTTTTTATTTTTATCCTATTAGTTATGTTTGTATATATGATTTATCGTCTTTTTATTATTTAAAAATTTGAAAATTAAAAATTTACAATATTTTATATTTATAATTATGCAAACTAATTTTACAATAACATATAATTAGAGGAATTTTCGGCATTGAATTAAAAAATAAAATTTTAATTTTTAATTGGATATATAAAAAATATCAAATCAAAGAGTAAAATTATTTGATATCAGTATTATTTTGCCTGGTTGCGTGTGGTGTGGAGTGGCCTAAACTTTCATTCATCCTGGTAACTTCGTCATCGGTCTCTGAACCGCGGGCGAAACGGGCCGGGCGGACGAGGCACGCCCGGGCCGCGCCTGAAAAACCCTCTAGGGTTTCGGGACAAGGCTTGCGGTGCTGCCCGATACTCAGTCTTTTACAAAGTTGTGTGCGATTCCGGCACTCATCCACCGCAGGCGTTGCGTTGAATCGAGTCTGCGTGTTACCGTAGGTTGCAAGTTTGTGACGGATTCAGGTGTGGTTAAGAATCAAGGGAGAAGCGCAGGTGTAGCAATGGCGGACGAGTTGGCAGCGGCGACCGAAGCTTTGAGATTGGATGATTCCAAGGGCGAGGAGCTGGAGGAGGGGGAGATTGTTGAGAACCCCGCAGATCGTCCCGCCGAGACGAAGAAGCACCCGCTGGAGCATTCGTGGACGTTTTGGTTTGACAATCCGAACGGGAAACAGAAGCAGGCCACATGGGGGAGCTCTCTGCGTTCCGTCTACACGTTTCACACTGTTGAGGAATTTTGGTGGTATGGATAGTCATCATGTTACCGTTTTTTTCGTTGAGGCTTCTGTTGACTCCTCTGCTCCTTATCCGTGCATCACCGTGCTGTTTTGTATGTATGTGTTGCTAAGAAGTCGGCTTTAGGTCACTTATTGCTATTGTAGTTATGATGATGGTAGCTCTACGCTATGATTTAGAAGCGTGTTTTAGGATGGTATTGATTCTACAAACTTTTGATGTAGGTTAGTTGATTTGTTCCGGAAGTACTGACATTGTACTGCTTGTCATTCGTTTGCAGCTTGTACAACAACATTTTGCAACCTAGCAAGCTGATTGCTGGGGCAGATTTTCACTGCTTCAAGAGCGGAATTGAGCCTAAATGGGAGGACCCTAAGTGTGCCCATGGTGGCAAATGGACTGCTCAGCCACCCAGGAGCGGCGGCAAGGCTGTGCTTGACACCTACTGGCTTCACACAGTATTGTCCACGTTCCTTATTAGTGTGTTTTGTTGATCATTAGCCGACTGGAATGCCCGTCCCTAATTGAAGGGTATTGGCATGATGTCAATATTCCGGCTTTGACTTTCTTTCTTCGTCATGGACCTCTTTCTCATCGTAACTTTTTGTATGTACTGAATGTAGCAGTGACGAGATTAGTACTATTGTTGCCTACGATAACCTGGTAATCATCACCTGTGGATGCAGTTGCTGGCTATGATTGGAGAGCAATTTGATGAAGGTGACGAAATTTGTGGAGCAGTTGTCAGCGTGAGACGAGCGCAGGACAAAATAGCTATCTGGACTAAGACTGCCTCTAATGAGGCTGCTCAGGTGAGTTGTCATGATCTGACTTGAAATACTCAAGTGATGTTCAACAGGATAATTGCGGGGGTTTTATGGGCATTCGCTTTGTTAAAGGCGCCTCTACAGGCATCAGTGTGCTATATGAACGAAGGAACGATCTTGCCCTTTAAGCATCAGCTAGTTTAAATGGATGAGAACCTTGCATTAGTGGTGCAAGTACATTCTTGTGCTATCACATGGTTTTCAGAGAGTGTTAGTGGCAGCCTACAGTTTTATCGTTTGGGATTGCAGGTCAGCATCGCGAAGCAATGGAAAGATGTTCTGGATTACAATGACAAGATTGGTTACCTAGTTCATGTAAGTTGCTCTAACAAAGTGTGTTAAGTTGTGTCGAAGTCAACCAGTAGGCCGTTCTCGTCTTTTTTCCCTTTTTTCCCCGTGTGCTCACTCCTATGCTTTGTATTTTCCATTGACTTGGTGATGGTGATGAAATATCAATTTTCGTTAAGCTCTAGACTCAATGAAATAACTTTGTTAAGATTCCTATTGATGTCTCAACACAACAAGAATACGGACATGGGATTTTCATTTAGTATACAGGATTTGGGTGTTAACCATTTTTTGCGATGCTACAGGAGGATGCCAAAAGACAAGACAAGAACGCTAAAAACAGGTATACTGTTTAGAAAATAGGGTCCATTGGATCATATAACTTGTTTTAAGGACTGCCATCTTATCCATGGTAGCGTCACCTCTCTGGTTAGTGACGTGCTCTCTAGCCATGTGGCTATCCTGTTTTTAGACAGTAGATAACGGCAGAGTTTCTTACAAGCTTTGGATGCTTTTGTTATTCTTGTCCCTGGAGAATGTATAATTATCTTCAGTAATTAAAAGCTGTAGAATAGAGGGAGACGCCATAACGTTGTTGGATGAATTTTTTTACGATTGGGGTCTCCTGTGCTGCTGATCTTTATCTTAAGTTTGAGTACTAGCTGTTAGCTTCATCTTACATCACTTCACCGTTCGACATCTACCCCGTGTGATGTTACGCTCTGCAATGTTTTTTCATACAGTACAATGTCATGATTTTATTTCCAACTATTTGAATACTAATAGAATTATGCCCCCAGTCATTTGCCTTTCTGCTCGTTCCTGAATTATTAGACATAGGCCACAATCGATGAGCTGAATACTTGAGCACCTGAATATACATTACACAATTCACTTGGAAGAAACCTTGAGTCATCCGTGCATTTAGTTTGGACACCAATGGTGATGTCCCACGTACGCCGATGCACACAAATGTACCCAGTGAAATTCTATCAGGAAGTAAGGGACATCGCTCTCTTCGTGTCGGTTTTATTAGATATTTCCCGAGCAACAGCCCAAGTTGATTCATTTTTCTTGACCTGTGTGCACTGCTCACCAGTTATCAAATAGATGAACTACTGTTGCGATGTCAGTGGCAAACTCTGCTTGAATGGAAGTAACCTCAGATCAACACTTTTCCAGCTAAACAGTGTCCCATCATGTAAACGGCATATCTGTTTTCAATGAACTGTACATCAACGTAATCACCTTAAACTATGAACCGTAGTTCACTTAGCGAATCCAGCCAATATTCGTTCTTCATAATGCAGCGTTAGATCGTCCACCTCCTTAGCACTCCTTTCACTTGAAAGCATTCATGTTGCAAGTTGTGCTGGAAGATATCCCATTCCCAATAAGATATTTATGGTAATTCCACAATGAAAAAATATGAACTTTCTTAGAAAATTATAGAAGATAATTTTTTTGATAATGCTAACTCACTACTACATTTGAGCTAGTACCTTAGAATAAAATCGGTCCTAAATAATCACTGATATAGTCATATATCGTAAAATAAAATAAAATGAAATGAAATGAAATAATGCAATTTATAGAACTTTAGAACATTAAAGTGAAAAAGCAGCTTGCACTTTAACAGTTCTGTATTGCTAAAATCAATACATTGTAATTTTTGCATTAAATAGGTCACATAAAGAAAGCTATGACCTTCTGATGTTTAGAAAGGCTTGTAAGTAAACAACGTGTTTACCAATTTCTTTATTGTTGGACAAAGTAAATACATACATGAATAAATAAATAATAGGAACAAGTAAGAAAGAAAGAAAATTTTACATATCAAAATTTAACATATATATATATATATTATTTATTTATTTATTTATTTATTTATTCTCCACTCTTACAGGATTTTCAAAAAAAATTACAACAGAAGCACAATATTAGGAATTTTAGAGGTACTAAGGCATGATGCAATTAGTAGAAGTAAGTCCTAATGAAAAAATTATCACCTAAATTAGAAACAGATTCTTCTTAAATCTCAACTAAGTTCATATAATCTCCAAGTAACATCCTATTAAAATTTAAAAGTGATTCTAGATAATTAAAATATCTTGTGTTTCTTTTTCTAAATGATTGCCGCTAAGAAACCATTGCCGAAACCACCACATGTACAAATTGTTGCTAATATTCATTGACAAAATTTTAGACCAACGATTAGCAGTTGTTGTGACACAGATATATATATACATATATGTTACAACACTACAATGATATAAACACTTCTTAAACAAATTGCATCACACTCTATTCACGCATTAAATTCTTATTTAAAATCCGTTTTAAAAATCCAACGTCGGAATTGGTTTTAAAAATGGTGACTATTATGATAATGCAGATGCAATCAACATGTGTTCGATAAAGTCTTTGGTATTTCATCATCCACTAGTGTTGTGGAAATCAATTCTACGTTTCCTTAAAAATCCACTCCTCCGAACTGAGCACAAGCCAGTCGGTGACATGGCGGTGAGAGACATTCAGGTGTGTGCAATTCCTGTTGCAATCAACGCGGTATCATCGAGACTCTTGAACATGAGCATCGTTGCAAACCAATTTTGAAGCTCTACAACGATTTGCAGAGTAATATGACAGCTGTTTTGCAGATCAGATGATCAGGTAAATAATCAACACATCAATCGTCCGATGAACCCAGTTTTGTGCACATCTTCTAATGATTCATTGCATGTCATTTTGTATTAGCTCTCATGTGGCAACCACGATCTCGGCGATGGATTTTAACTGACAAGAGCTCGCCAAATCTGTTTTTTGGGGGGAAGTCATGTTAAGTTTTGCAGTTGTTGAAACTTCTGGATGGAGGGAGTCTTTGTGTGCAAGGAATCGAATTCTGTGTCACACAAGACTTTTTGAGACTATGGAAGGATTGGAGTTGGCAGTGTGGCTTGTAGAGTTTCCAGCATCGACATCATCCAGAAATGCGTCTACGAGAGTTTTGTAATAAATTTGCACTTTGAAACTGTGTTTTATTCCTGCGCAGAAAGAGGTATGCCATGACGAGTTTGTGTGGTGGCGTGACGGTAGAATGCGAGTCAATCGCATTCTCAGAAAGCTTCTTCTTTGTGGTTGCGTTGGAATGGAGATCGCGTGACTTACGGAGTGGAGAGCGGAGAGGAACTATTGGAACGTTTGAATAGCTTTTGTCGCTGAACGTGTTCGCATTTGCATTTTGAGGTTGTCTAGAATAGCATGATTTTGTTGCAATTTTGGAAACAGGCGCATTACTGGCGTGGCGTGTGCATCAGAAGCTGCACAATTTCTAAAATCTTAGGGTTATTATAGTGTAGCAGATATTAGATCTCGTAGGATACGTCGTAGATTCCGAGTTCACCATCCCCTGAAATCCTTGAAATTAGAAGCGTGGTGGAAAGAGGTTTGTATTCGTTTATTAAGGGTGTTGCTTGATGCATCAAGAGTTTTTACATGAGCGGGCGGTTGTTTATTGTTGGCCAAGGATGTGGAATTTACGCTAATAACCACAGTTACGATCTTTTGGGTACCCAGAAAGGGCTACATTGCAAATGAGAGTGCCAGGAATGGTTTGATCGAGATTCGCTAGGATTGCCATTTTATAACATCGTTGGTGTGGTCTGACCTTGAAATACGTGGTAATCAAGCCCTAGAGTGCAGAAATAGCTCATCGCTTACGCTCGGTCTTTATTCTTTACAGTGCCTGCCGATGTTAGTCTCCAAATTCGGAACTGACATCAAACAGTTCATCACTCTTACGGGTGGCCTTGATTTTGTTCTGGGAAGGATAAGCGGATGGTAAAAACAACTGAAGGACACTACCTTGGAACTCAATTCAGAACTGGAAAAAATTTAGCCAGCCTTTAAGGTATAAGAGCTCCAGGAGCTATTTATCAAGCAGTGACAAAGAGATGCGGATGTCAGTACACGAAGGCCTTTCCTGGAAGGAGCAAATGAATCTGAACCTCCTTGTCTAAATTCTTGAAGGTGGGTGAAGCCATTGTCTACCCCGAACGTGACGTGGTACAAAAGTGTCCTGGCAGAACAGGAAACGAACTGAGATGCTTGACAGGAATGTAATTTTTCCATTACGAAATGATTGTGAATGTGCAACCAAGGGAACGGGCTAAATAATCTAAACAAGGGAAGAGGCAGGAAGACTCGAAGTAGAATCCAGGAAACTAAAGGACAAGAGTAGGACGCAGAATTGACGGGATTATTGTAAGGACTCGAGAGAAATTAGCTGCTAGCTCGAATCATGCTCGATATTTTATTCATGTGTTTTAAATATATATATAATCGAACATTAAGCAAATTGAAGGAGAACTTTCCACGATAGTGTCTGCAAGAAGTACCCACAAAGATCAGATTGCGCAGCCTGACATCGCGAAAACCAAAGCAGACTCTGAGCAGCAGACATTTAGCAGCAGACATTTAAGAGAATGGAGAATTTCGAGACGGCAGGGCAGGTATCAACCAGAGGCGGCGTAGAATTGGGGTGAAGTACGGAATCTTGCAGTAGGGCAAATCGACGGGACTGTAGAAGATTAAACATAAAAAACACAAGTAGCCGGAAAAGCTGCTTCAGATCAGGGTTCACCACAGTAGACACATGCCGTGAGCAGTAAAATGCCAACCTGGAAGCCACCCTCGACGACAATGACATAGTGCCGGTGGATCAAAGGAGAGACCCCTCAGGATCCGGGGACAAGACAGCAAAGGAGCAGCGACAATGGCGGGGCATGGGGAAGTGTTGAATGATCATCATCTCCATGCAAGTCAGTATCAAAGATTGTGAGGCTAGCAGCAGGAAGCTCAGATGTCACCTACGCTCCAATAATGAGATCGTGCGCCCTGCCAAGGTGGGGCTCGCGGTAGAATTAGGATTTACAGCAGCAGCCTTTCAGCTGTTGCCGTTCACAGACTTTAAACCAAGTTAAAAGCCCTCAAAATACAAGATCCACAACAACCCAGAGTGCCACATCCTCTGATCCAGACTCTACGTGAATCATTTGCAACTGCAGCATCACGGAACCATAACCCTACGTACTGGAAGAGTCAGCCACACCGTCACGAACGGTACTGTACCTGGAGCTTAATGAAGGATGAGTCTGGAAGTGGCAACCGAACGGCCTGTCACGCTGCAGCAGTTAGCCGATATTTTAACAGACTGCAACAACAACAGCACCCACCTTCTCCATGAGCCTGCCCCAATTGGACTCCATCGCTGCTGATGTAGCAACGGCAGCATCTTGTCAGCCACCGAGGTGAGAAAACCATCACTTTTAACCTTACGAAAAACTAGGCCCTAATGTGCGTCTACAATGCTGCTTTTGTGTTCACTGCCCGTTAGGGTTTGGTCTTGCTGGGTGCAAGTTTGTGTCTTGGGTTTATTAAATAATGTCGTAACCTGAGAACCAACTGGAGAGAGATTACACAACATTCTTGCTGTTTCATGAAGAAATGGTCACTGGATTCTGTTCGAAGCACTGGTGATGACGCTTGCTTGACAGTCACTCTGATGTTGCTGCCCTGGTTCTAATAATGGATGAATGCTTGATTTGGATTGCTAAATGCGAGGTCTGTGTTTGTGGGTTAAGGGACGATGTCATTAATATCAACATTAAAATTGAAAATGGTCTGCAACTATCTTAAACCACCGCAAAATGACAGGTTGGTATCAAAAAGTTGGCAGTTCAAATAGTGGTTGTGAGTTTTTTAAATGTTACCCAACAGTTACTAGCACAAAGATAACGACTCTTTGATATTTTACGAAGCATATGAAAAATATGTAATTAAACAACAACAAATAGAAAGAAAAATGGTTGTTGGTTAGAGAGTCGCATATCAGTAGTAAAATCTATGTAGTTTGTATTGGTGTTAGACCATAGATCTTGACTGTATTTGGCAGTGGAGCCGCTTTTTGCCTAACAATGATTAGTTTTGTTACTTTTTAATATTACATAATAAATTTATTGTAATATTTAAAATCTATTAAAAGTATTTTATATTTAAGTATGTGTGAGATGAGAAAACGAGATTGGCAACTTTTTCACATGCTTAGTTTGATAAATAAAATAAAATAAAATAAGCATTCAATTTCAATTAATTCGTAATGATTTTTTTACCTGTTCAGTACATCATATAATAATATTTTACTTCGTAAACAGATACAAGAAAATTATAATTTTTGTAATGTGTTCATGATTACTTTACAAATAACCACATCTGTTTATCCACTGCTGTTTTGGTTGTGTGCATATTAAGAGTTAGGTTATAAAATTACAATTACAATAAAACTTATTAATGTTCATGTTTATGAGCACATGATTATATTTGTGCAATGTTAAAATAATCATCATCATCATCATCAACATTCTAAAAAACAAATATTAAGTACAAAAAAAAAAAAAAAAAAAAAAAAAAAAACACAATCCTTTAATCAAATTTGTATCAGATAGTTGATTTTGAAGTTACATAAAGTTTTATTTTAATTCTTTTACTATTATTGTTTTTATTCAGAAGAACACAGTCGGTGAAAATCACATTTGTCGTTTTACACATATTTGCATCTAATAAAGGTTCCTGTAGTTATTCTGTCGATGATTTAATTCATCTAATAAGCAACATATTCTATAAAATCGTCGTTAAAAACAAGAAGAAAATATTGGATCAGCTTCACATTCAATTACACTCCTTGTTAGAACATTAACAGATAGTAAATATACACCTTTGATTAAAAATAAACAATTTATGAAAGGTGCTGTTTGATAAAACATAATGTCTCGTGCATGTAGCGATTCCAACTTGCAGAAACGAGTAATATATATATTTTCCATTCTTTATATTGATTTCTTATTTTTATTTTAAAATTACATTAAAGTTATGTGAAAAGTTCCATAGATATCGAAATAAAACTTATAACTTTTTATAACCTATAGGGACTTTTCATAGAAAGTATTATGAAATTCAGGTATTATTGTATAAATATGTAACAAAATGGGATATACATTTTACAGGAACTAGTCTTGCTCACAATTGAATATAATAAAGTATAGATTATAAATGCATACACACCATGCTTTGGTTTCATTTCTGTTGCAGTTTCCGAGGTCAAACAAGTTAAAGCCACTTTCTAGTCGTCAAGAAATCATTAAAAAAATAAGAAAAAAAACCAAGCCATGATGGATGTTTTTCTTTTTGCATGGATAGTATAAAAGCAAAGACCCCATTAACCTTCAATAACGAACATGGAAAAGACCCAGAAAAGTAATAATAAAACAGAAAAAAGGCAATGAGGAAAGGGCTAAAAAAGGAAAAGGAGAAAAGATCACCGCAGTAAAGTAAAATATCTCTGGTGAACATGCAAAACGGTGAAGAAAGTAACGGGCGCCACGAAAAAGCAACGGGCGGAGGGGGCAAGAGGAGGGGGTTGGGTTGGGGAGCACCACCCACAGCCATCCGATCGCGGGTGGGACTTCCGCCATCGTAAGGGTCAAGCTTCTCGAACTACAATGAAAGAGGCAGCGAAGCTTCGATAAGTTACAGACTTCTCTCTAGCACGCGCCAAAAAACCAATGGTCTCGATGATTTCCTCGACTTTGTGTTCCACACAAAGAGGAAATTAATTAATAGGCAAAAAAGAGAGGAAAGACTGTTGGAAGCTGCAGATTTGGGCTTGTCTCCGTGTTACCTATTTATAGACCCCTCCGTCCGTCGGCTGCCGTTCTCGCTCCCCCCCCCCCTAAAAGCTTAATTTCTGAAGACTCGTGTGTCATCGATGCAAAAAGATTACGTTGAGGTGGACCGCAACCACATGTCGCTTCTTTACTGCAGCTCTCTCTCTCTCTCTCTCTCTCTCTCTCTGTCTCCCCTTTGCTCGTGTTGATCGCTGGAGATCTTCCTTTTTACGGTGGCGATAGGATCTGTTAGAGCTGCGTTAGCTTTTGCTTGAATTCTCGGGTTTCAGAGCTGGGTTGGTTTAAATTCGTAGGATTCCGCTTTGGAGATTGATGTACGATATATCGTGTCTCTTATTCCGCACGAGGTGTGCCTGAAGCGCGAGTCAGGGCTGCAGTGTTTGTTTGATAGATAGTGGTGTTTGCAGCTCACGCAAACAAGCTTGAGGTTTTAGTTTTAGTTTTAGTTTTAGTTTTTTTTTTTTTTTTTTTTTGGTGTTGTTCCTCTAAATTCCCGTGTGGGCAGTGGAGTGACCCATCTTCGACGAGCCACGGTGTTCCGGTTTCAATTCAGGTTGACCGTTGCTGGAGGCTGAAGTGGTCTGGGCTACATTGAGCTAAGGTGCTTCGATCGTTTCCGCTTACGTATTACTTTGGAAGTAGGAGGATTGTAACCATTTGGGGTTGATTCAGCCATGAAAGAGGTTCGGAAGCTTCGCGTAGCCCTACATTCTGCCACAGAGCTGAAGAGCGCGAACAAGATGCATGTGTACGCTGTGCTGTGGATGGACCCCATCGTTAGAGTGCCAACTCCGACGACCAAGGCTCAGGGAAGGCACCCGGTTTTCGACACAACGGTCACCTTGTCGCTGGATGACAGGACATTAAGACTAGGTTATCTGAACATCGAGCTTCTTGGACAAGGATTAATAAGTACCAGACGGATCGGGTTTGTCAGGGTTGAGCTGAGTGGCATACTTGAGGAGGGGTCTGGCGGCAATGCTGTTCTGAAAGAATTTCGTGACTATCCGGTAAGCGTCACTACCTGCTTCCACTGTTAACTGGTGATCTATGTCTGTATCGAATGTTAGAACCGAGTAATGGCTCGCACGGTTTCTCATATTCTTTTCTTGGCGATTCTTGGCAGGTTACGAGACGCTCAGGTAGGCAACAAGGATTTCTCAGCTTCGACATGCACTTGCAGGAAACGTCTAGCTGTGAATCTGTGGACACTCCCAAATCTGATCCGAAGTCTCGAAGCTTGGCAGTTACTCCGCCCCCTAGACCCCGAGAGTTCACCCTCCAGCAGAGATTCGACCTTGAAGGCGAGCAGTCGGACGACATGGCTTCACCCTCGAGTAGCTCGGAAGCTGGTGATTTCCAAAAAGCGGTTTCATTGCGCAGAAGGATGTACGGCATGAGACCCAAGTCCTTTAGCGTCAACGGACTCTTGTCTTGTTACTAAAAACTTAGACATTGGAGTGGACAACTTTTAGAACTTGTACAGTACTTAATGGCTATCCTTGTATAATACAATTTTGGACTCTGCACATCTCCAATGTCTCAACCCATTCGTTGAGCAAATGACATGTGTTGTCCACATGTATGTCGTTCTTGTTTGGTGGGACCGCAGGTGCTGATCTGCTTGTCGCAGAAAGTGCAGTAATGGCTTTCAGTTGCAATTCTTTTCAATGTGTGCGTTCCTCTTGAAATGCAGAAAGAAACGGCCAATTGTAATCAATATTGTTGTAGCATTTTACTGTACACCTTGAAGTCAGCTCCTTCTGTTCCGTGTACAATTCTAGATTTTGTCACAATTGGTAAAGAGCGTTCGGAAAGGGATGTAAGGTGTTGTTACTTACGCAAGATAATGAATTATACTTGAATTAACCTGTCAAGTTATTACTAACGAATTAGCAATGCAAAAGAGGATATGTCGAATCGTGCACATTCTTTCTTTTGAAGCATTCACGAGGGAGAGATAATTATTTGGGCACTGATGTAGATAGCTGAACTATCTCTGCTACCTAGACCAAAAAACACATATTGACTATGAAAGGGACAGTTTTCTTTTGTTGGCCATTCTAACTTTTTATCCCCTGCTGTTCAAAAGGGCGATAGGCTTTTGGGTTCATACCGTCACCGTTGCATAACCAATGTGCTCGCTGGGCCTGTGCCAGTCCGTTGATGTAGATTATGGATGCTGCTTCTCTGTTCAGCATCCCACACTGCATTCTTAATTATTGCACTGTGTCTGAAAGTGACTCTTCATCAAGCAGCTTGCCCTCATCCAATACGAATTGAAGGATTTCGAGCAAAGACTATTCACCCATCTCGTTTCTACGTTCCAAATTATCCTCAAGTTCTGCTGATCTGCACAGTAATGCAATGAAATGACTACACGAGTTGACACAAAGTGGTGATTGTTGTACCGCTACGTCAGTTACAAGGAATACAAAGTAAATACATCACATTGCGGAGTTTCCAATGAACCTACAGGGGTGCCCAATGGAAGCCGTGGAGTTGCCCACGCTTCCTTCCAAAAGACTGTCCGTGGAGACTGCAGCTGCACCGTCGGACTCGGACACCATGTCCAACACAACAATTAGACCAAAGCTCAGGACTTCTAGAAGCCATAGCCACTGAGTACCTCCTTAGCACGCTTGTCCCATAATAGAAACCGAAGAATAGGGAGCTGCTTCCGAAACGAATCCACAAGGTAAAAAAAAGGATTTGGAGAGGAACAGATAGCTTGATGGCGACTCCAGTTGCAGCCACGACGAGCACAAGCAGTAGTCACGATTCGAAAAACTCCAGCTGCCACCTTCTACAAAGTCAATGCATGAGTGGCTTTCGAAAAATGGCGCCACAGCTGGAGAAGGGTGGCGTCTTCTTCCGTGGACCACACCGCATTGAAGTGCTGCTGCAAAGTCGTATGCGACGTGTGTTTAGCGACACCCAACGATAATGGAAAGCCGTCAATTTCGCTCGTGGTTCAGACACGAGTCCTGTCTCTAGACGTTTACTGGGGATTAAACGTCGTCGAAGCGAGGATGCGACGATCGTCGATGCATCGGTCAATCGTTCCTGCGCGGGTCAGTGATTTCCGTGTCTGCCTGGCGGCGTGATCGGTGAGGCTCGGCACGGTTCTGGATCCCATCGCTTCCGATACGGTGATGGGCACTGGGCGGTGATGGGTGCAGAGTACGCTTTAAAGACTAGACTTCAGAAATTTACGGATTTAGGGTTTGGCATTTTTTAAAGTTATGGTTTTAATCTCTGATTGCTACATTAGGGTTTGAGAGTTATGAACTTAAATTATCACTGGCTTTGCATTGAGTTTGAATTCTTCATTATTTTCATTTTTTTTTCATTTTTTTTTTCTCTTTTATAACCTGGAGAAAACAAATTCACATAAAAAAATATCATATCTTTATATGAATTTTAGAATAGCATTTTATCAAAATTATCCTTTTTGGTAAAGATATTATATTGACAGAAGATTGTATGGACAGTTTGTTCTACTTGTGTAATGAAATATTTGTGGATTTCTTCACATGTAACAGAAAATACTCAGCTAATTGGACTTAAAAAAAATAGAAAACCTCCTATTCTGCAAGATTGTTTCATATATATTAAACTTTACTTTTAGTATGAATTCTTTGATATATGAACATTGCAGAAACATATTCATAAATTAAGCTAAACACTATTTTACAAAACAATATGAATATCACATAGTAAAAGAATATTTATTTATGTAAGAACTGGATTTGAGAAAATAAAAGACTACAAATTTATAGAATTTGTACTGAAATTGGAAATGTGTTTATTACTTGATGGCATCCTATTTTAAAATTAAATGTTATAAAATAAAATAAAATATTAACAAGTCTATTTATACTATTATTTATTTATAAAATATAAATGTCTACTAAAACTAATTGTATTTTGTTACCCAATTTACTGAAAAGCATTTACTTTGATATTAACTAGTAGATGAGATTATTTGCCTCAAAGAAAAAACTTAAACATGTCTATAAATTCATATTATAATTCAAGAGTGTTTCTCAATTCAAATGCAAATAATGCAAAAAATATGAAGACAAAAGTTATCTTTTTGAAAAAAAGATATTAGAATTAGATTTAAAATTTTCAAATTTTCTGCATAGTTCTTTAAAAGCTATAATGAATATCTATATATCTATATATATATATATATATATATATATATATATGATAGAATGAAGTAATGCTTTTTATTTAAAAGATGCTTTTTATGCCTATCTATAAAATGCATGTTAATCATCTGAATTTAAATTAAAATATAAATACATAAAAAAACACTCAACAAACATGTAAACCATAATATGTAACGTATAAACTTAAATGTATCAATTTTTTTTATAGATCATAAGAAAATGTATATATATGTATATATATATTGCAAATGCCATGAATTTTTTTGTTATTGCCACCACAATCTACCATCCACTACATGGCACTATAGTTTTTGCTACTGTTACCATAACTTGCTATTTATTTAATAATTTTCATTAGTTATTAATTAATTAATTAATATTATTCTATAGACTATGATTAATTTTATTTTAATATTTCTAATATATATATATATATATATATATATATATATATATTCTAAAATTAAATAAAAAATAAATTTAATTTCAATAAATAAAATCTAAATATTTAATAAAAATAAGTTGTGGTTGCAATTGTAAAAATTGTAGTAACATTAGCAACAATATATATATATATATATATATATATATATACATACATATGTGTATATACACACACACTTGTATATATACATATATCTTTACAGTATCTTTATTTTATATTTATATTCTGTATTTATAAAATTAAAAAATCTATCAACATTTTGAAATGACACTGCTTTTAAAGAATAATATTTCACCTTTCTTTTTTGGTTTCTTTTCAGATTTTATTAATCAATTTTCACTATAACACACTTCAATGTTTTAGATTAGTTTTTCTTGTTTTTATTTAAAAACTATGTTAAAAAATATAAATCTAAATAATAATGTAAATATTTATTTATAGTTAAAATTTTCATATTAAATAAATTAAAATTTTGTAAACCAATTTTATTAAATAACAAAGAAAAATTTGGATTTTTTATATAATACAAACAAAATATTTTAAACATTGCACGACTACAAAATTATTGTAAGAAGTACAGAAGGAATAAAAGAAATTAATTATTCAATTGTAGAAAGAAGACAAACTTCAAAATATTGAATGTAAGTGGTTGGATAGATGGTGACTCCAAGATGGGGATAAGAATAGAATAAATGATGCCAATTATAAGATAGAAAACATGAATAGAAAGACTGTGACCATTTATTATAACTCTAAAGAATTTAAATGTAAGTTACAATGGTTTCATATCAAAATTAATTAATAAGAACCTTATTGTTTTAATTCAAGTCACAAATAAGTTGTTTGGAATTTTTCAATATAGATAGAAATTCAATATGATACTTATCATAGAAACTAAGATTTGTTTTTTGCTATTCTCTTTTGGTTGCTTTGTTCAAATGTAGCCATGAATGCTTCTAAAATTAAATTCAACTCATTCAATATTTATAAATCTTTTTCTATGAAAGTTTGTAAAATGTTTTTCACTTTTTCTAAGAAAAAAATCTGAAAGTTTATTTTTTAATAATCTAGGTTGATGTGGATTTGGAATAGATAACAAAATTAAGCACAAAAATATAATTAGAAAAGAAAAATCTACAACCTCTAATACCAAATAGTACTTTTAGATAAGAAGATTAGTACACTTTTGTAAGAAAAAAAAAAAAACAAAACAAAACAAAAAATATAATATTATAAAATACTAGTTTAAAAATTAAGTAGTCTAATTTTTAAAAAATACATTAATATTTTTCAACAAGTAGATTAATCTACTTATCTTTTAAACAAAACTATAATAATTTAGTATTCTTATCAAATTGTCAAGGATAAATATATATATATATATATATATATATCAAGAAATCACTCTAACATTAGAATGTTATCAATAATTTATATAAATGATAAATTATAAACTATTTAAATACTAAATTCTAAAACCTAAACTATAGCAAAATATTATTAATAATTTTAATTTGACTTATTACATATTAATTTTTTAAACAACAACAATCTAAATTTATTTAATCTACTCATTGAAAAATTGATTCATTTTTTATATCAATATTAAAAAAACAATGTTACTTTTTGAAACTTATATTTAACTCAATTGTTTTTCAAGCCTATCCAAATCCTTATATTTAATCTACATATAGGTTTTTTATAAATAGTTTAATTAATTTTTTTATTTATTCTATATTATTGTTAGAAACATTATTAGGCTTAATCTATATGGGATATTTACTATATTGGTTGTTACTTTAAAAATATTGATATTTAATTAATTTATATCAATTAAATAATAATTTTTATTATACTTTTATACGTTCTACTTATTTATCTTTTTCTTATTTTACTTTAATTCAAAAGTCTATGCCAAAGACTTTAGTAAATGTTTAAAACATTTAAGAAGCTAAATAACACCCTTTTCTTATTTTACATCATATTTAGAAATTTCAGATACAACTTCTACTTACACTTATGGTAGCTATTTCTTCTATAGAGAAGAAAATATCATAATCCATATATTCTATATTTAAAATTAAAATTAATAAAAATATAGAATAAAAATTTGTAACTTTTAATTATCCTTAGGTTCTTTCTTATAGCAAGAAATATTGTTTAGATTTGATTCCTAGTATAAAATTTTAAATGCTATTAAAAAAGAAGTTTTAAAGATTATTTTAAATTTTTATTTTTTTTGGAAATATATTATTAATTACATTAAATTTGAATCTGAAATTTTTTAATATTTTTTCATATTTTAAAAATAAAATTTCCCTAATTTCAGTATGAAATATTTTATTTTTTACCTAACGATATATTGATTTTCTTCAAATCATCAATTTTATGAAGTCTTCTATTAATTTTAATTTTAATTTAATATTAAATGTTTTAATTTGTATTTAATTTTTCAAATATAGACTACTTGAAAATTTAATATTTAATCCAATTGGCTTTAAAGCTTTCATAGTAGTTACATCTTTAGTTAATTTGTAAATTTTGTTTCTAGACAGGGCTTTTTAACAAACTGAAGTTTATTTGTTAAGTTTTTTTTATTTTTTTATTTTTTTTAAAATTTCTATTATTTTACTTAAAATAATTTATTACGTTTTTAGTTTAGATCTATTTAAATCACATGGTATTAAGTATTATTTAAGAAATTGATACTTGCTCTTTTCACTTTTCTTTGTGGAGTTGCTGGTTTTGCAATGAGCTCTATTGTACATTCTTTTGAAATTACTCATAGTTTTAAAAATATATTATTTAAAAGTATTCTAAATTTATATTCTAAAATAAGTTTTAATAATATATTTTAAAAATATATTTTGATAGATTTATAAATTACAATATTCTAAAAATAATATTTCAATTAATTTGATATTTATCAAACTATTTCACTAATAATTAAGAATTATATATATATATATATATATATATATATATATATATTCCTTTTTATTATATTAAAAATGCCTTTGGATGAAAATTTTATTAGAACATTAAATTTTTGTTTAAAAAACAATATGGTATCTTGATAGAATTTTTTATTTTTTAATAAAAAATATATATATATATATATATTTATCAAGAACTCAAGTTTTTCTACCAAATACTTAATATAAGTAGAAATTATAATATATAATTTTTTTTCTTCATATTTGTAAATTTCTATTATGTCTAAAGTTTTAGTTTTAAAATAGAATGTCTTTAATTAAGCTACAAAGTCCTATAAAAAAATTATGTTTTAAAATTATAAAACTTTCAATTTTTTTAGTACTTATATATTATATCTTAATTACAAAAAATTAATAATTTTATTAAATTTTAAGATTTAATATTTTCTTTATAATCATCAATGGCTCTTATATAATTAGTTTTATTTATATCAGGTCTTTTAAAGTAAAGTTCTATTTTTATTTTATTTTTATTTTTATGTTTTTAATGACAAAGTGATTTTATTTTATTTTTCCAAAATTGACTGTATAAATTATTAAGAAAGGGACATAATTTAAAAAATATATAAGTAGTTTTTTTCTATTTTTTAAATTTATTCTTATCTGTGATAATTCAAAAAATTGTCTTTGTCTTATCAAATTTGACTTGATTCACCTTTTTCTTGAAATAGAGTAACATGTAGATACTGGGTTTAATACATAAAGTTTTTATTATATAGTTTAAGATTTTTATTTTTTATTTTTTTGTAGATAGTTTTTGTAAAACATGATTGAAGGTAGAGAATTTTTTATATATGCATGTGGTACCCATTGGGACAATTTTTTGACTCCTTGCTTGTTACTCATTCAAAACACCATTACAATCTCTACTTATTGCCACATCACATCACTTATTACTATACCCCTTTTATTTCTTTAATTTTTTAAGGTATTTTTGTTCTCTTATACCTACATACATACCTATCTTTATTGGTTTGATTTTTTTATTTATTACTATGCAAGTTATTGCATAAGATAAAGAAAATATAATTGTACAATTTTTGGAAAACGAATTTTAAT